TTCACTGTTCATCTTTTTTATCTTCTTTTTCTTAGATTAGTCCCTTTAACATTTCATATAATAAGGGCTTGGTGATGATGAACTCCTTGAATTTGATCTTATCTGAGAAGCACTTTATCTGTCCTTCCATTCTAAATGAAAACTTTGCTGGATAGAGCAATTTTGGTTGTAGGTTTTTGGTTTTCATGACTTGGAATACCTCTTTCCAGCCCCTTCTTGCCTGTAGGGCCTCTTTTGAGAAATCCGCTGATAGTCTGATGGGAACTCCTTTGTAGGTGACTGTCCCCTTATCTCTTGCTGCTTCTAGGATTCTCTCCTTCATTTTAATCTTGGCTAATGTAATTATAATGCGCCTTGGCGTGTTCCTTCTTGGGTCCAACTTCTTTGGGATCTCTAAGCCTCCTGGATTTCCTGGAAGTCTATTTCCTTTGCCAGATTGGGGAAGTTCTCCTTTATTATTTGTTCAAGTAAGGTTTCCACTCGTGACTGTTCCTCTTCCCCTTCTGGTACCCCTATAATTCGAATTTTGGAACGTTTAAAGATGTCCTGGAGGTTCCTAAGCCTCTCCTCATTTTTTTGAATTCTTCTTTCTTCATTCTTTTCTGTTTGGTCATTTTTTCCTTCCTTCTGGTCCATTCCCTTGATTTGAGTCCCAGTCTCCTTTCCATTACTATTGGTTTCCTGTGTATTACCATTCATTTCAATTAGTTTAGCCTTCATATGTTCCTCTAATTTGTGACTAAAATCAACCAGTTCTGTGAGCATCTTGATCACAGTTTTGAACTGTGCATCTGAAAGTTTGGCTATTTCTTCATTGCTTAGATTTATTGGCTCTGGGGCTCTGAGTTGTTCTTGAGCTATATTTTGATCTGTTTATGCCTGTTACATATGAGGAGAGGTGCCTTAGATGTTCACCAGGGTGGGGCCACCCAGGTTGCTGGTTTGTGACACTGTATGTGGGGGCGGGGTCAGAGAGGGAGCAATGGTGGTCCTCTCAGCTAGCCCAGTCTGTCCCACGGCTCACCCCACCTGTTTATCTGAGTGGAAATGTGCGAGCCCGCCGCCCTGCACCGTGTGGTCTCAATGCTCACCTCTTCACTGGTTTATCTGCACGCAAATGCTCTATCGACCACAGACAGCCAGCCGTGCCTCTTCCCTGTGTCTGCCCATAGCTAGCCCACACCTGGGATCCGCGCCTTCGGCTGCTTGCGCACCACCTCGGTTGGGGATCTTTTTGGCCAACGAACTCCGCTGCTGGCTTCGCCCCTCTTACCGGTTTAGCTGAGCATTTCATTGTTTTAGGACTCCGTATTGTCAATTTTCTGTGTGGTTGGATGGCGTTTATTGTTGTTTAAACTTTGTTGTTTTTAGATTTGGTTGTTTGAGTACGCAAGGTATTTCCACCTACACCTCCATCTTGGCGGAAGTCCAATTATGTCCAAAACATTCTTTATACTAGCAAAACATTGGCACAAAGATAACTGTCCAGTAAAGGAGTGAGCCTATATGACAATATTATTGTAAAATTGTATATTATTTGTAATATTGAGTAATTACAAATAATATAATTCTATGTTTGGGACATGGAGAGTATTCCCCCTTCAGTAAACAGAAGAAACACTATTTACACAATAAATTGTGTAAAGAGTATTTACACAATTTAGTTTTGTTTAAAAAGTAAAGAGCAGTTGTAAAGGTATACACCAAAATGCCATCAGTGTCTATCTTTATTTTGCTTCTTTGTGCTCCTTTTTTTTCCTAAAATAAACACTATTACTCAAACATCTAAAAGGCTTTCTGTCCTTTGGCTGGGGTTCAGGTAAATTCTTTGTAGCTCTGAAACAAACACCAAGACAAGTGGGAAGAGTACATGGAAAGGCATTTTAGCTCTATACAGGGATGAATGAGCTACCTGCAAGAGTCGTGGAACATGAACCATCACCTTATGGACCAGGACTTCTAATGTGAATGGTGTCCACCAGGACCTAGAGAATTCCTTGTTAGTAATGACGTGGATGGGAGTGTGGCTGGTGCAGATTGGGATGTTGGACCTAGCTACTTTCCAGTTCTAAAACTCTGGGCAATTTGATTTTGCAATGAATTTAACAGACACCACCTTTCATTTCAACAGCCTCTTTTACATTTCAAAGCACTTTCACATATGCTGGTTTATATTAATTTCAGTTTATTACTTTTTTAAAAAATCCTCTAGAACAATTCTACAGTGTAGGCCAGGCAAGTATTATCACCTCCATATTACTGAAGAGAAAACAGAGGCAAGCAGACAGTGATCTCCTTTTCTGGGTGAATGATGAGGTCACATCTCTGAACAATTGCATTATGGCCCACCCTCTTCCCTCAAACACCACACAGCTCCCCCTTCCCACCAGGGATTAGAAACTGGTTGGACTTGGCTGAAAGTTGCTTGCATGTTGCCTGCCACAGGGAAGAAAATCAACAATGCTTGGCACAGAGTGATAGTAAGTGCTGACAATGATATCCCATCTGCTTGTTCCCACATACTCATGTGGATCGGGTTAATGTCAAGTAACCAACAGGTTGATCTAAAAATCAAGATCAATCAAACCAGCTGGATGATTTGAACAGCCAAAGAGGTGGATGAATCTATTTAGTGTTCTCAGTCAATATAATTGCTCTATACCTCTGTCCCCATCATTCCTGGAAGAAACCCATAAGTGGAGCTTCTGGGCCAATTAAATAGTGAATGGGATCCATATTGGGCTTAATGAAGTTGGGCTTTGTTACTATTACCAAAGGAATTGACAAAGGAATTTTGTATTTATTTTGTACTGGTAGCAGATTAAGCACTTCAACAATAATGTGGCAATTCATCAAAAGTCTTAGGTGCTATCTAAAATCATAAAATTAAGTGGGAAAACATACACTCAGAAAAGGTTATATGTTTTAGAAAAATAAATTCAAATTTTAGATAAATGATACTCTTTACAAAGTATACTAAACAAATGACACAGTTTCATTGGCTGATAAGTGCCATTCACACATATACATTATTTTGCACATGCCAAGCTCTCCTCTGAGCACCTCTCCTCAGAACCACCCCGGGGAAGTCACTACAGGAGGTAACTGGAGGGTAGGCAGCCATAGGGACATTTCCCTCAAGTCAACCAGCCCCCAAGTAGAAGCAGCAGGATTTCAACCCGGGTCTGATGACTCCCAAACCAGCATGCTTCACCATTACTTGTTCTCTCATAACATGGAAAGAATATGCTCTTTTTATAAAAAGGAAGAAATGAAAGTTTCCTTAAAATGGCATAATAAATCACTCCAGGAAATAAAAAGTTCAGTTGGAAACTAAATTGGAGAACAACAACATTGGAGAACAATGAGAGAAACGAAACTACCCTGAACATGACATGTAACAACACACAAAGAGGCAGGTGTGGAGTAGGTGAGTGGAAAAGAATAAAGGCTGATGTGTTCAATGTGCTCATACTGTAAATAGATTATTAATTAAGGGGATAATGTCAAACATGCTTGAAATACTTTGCTTTTTATTTACATAAAACCCAGTCAGCACATTCAATCTACTCACTTATTCAACAAACAATTATTGAGCACCTACCATATGTCAGGCATTGTTCTAGGCAATATGATTGCCACATTGACTCCAAGAACAAAAGTTCCAGACTTGGTAACATTCACATGAGCTTCTTGAGAAAATAAGGTAGTAGAAAGGGAGCTTAAGACAGATTTTGGTTTTAATCCTGGCCAGATGGCCTTAAGCAAATTACTTGAAATCTTTCTGAATCTAAGTTCCCTGACCTCTAAACTGAGGATAAAAATGTTTTTATTATATCATCTTTTATTAGGAAAAAATCAATTTGAGTTTATATGTGAAAAATATTTACTCTTTAGTCTTAGAGAAACTGAAGTAGTTGACAAGGAATAAAAATTTTATCCTCATTATTAAATCTTTCAAAATATTTCATTCCTTATTTTCCATGATCTAAGCTCTCTGGGTTTAATGTTAACCATGTGTAAGACTTGTAGGGTCAAGACAAGGTCATTCTTCCATACCTAGCCACCAATTTCAGAGTCTATGTTAGAGGCTTAACATGCCATAATTATGTATGTTTCCCCTTATTTTGGAAGGAAGTTGGAGTGAAATTGTATCTTAGTGAATATTTCATTTTAAATCTTATATAGAGAGATGTTGCTTCTTATCTACTTCTTCAGAAACAGATCTACAGCAATTATTTCTAAAATCTTTGAGTAATTTTTTGTTATGTTCTTTCATAATGATATTATTTCATTGTCAGAGCAAAATAAGACCTACATGGAGATGGTTGTGTCATATATAGGCCCATAAGAATGACCACTGACCATCGTGTTGGCTATACTTTATTGATCAAATCAAAGAAAAGTGAATTGTTCCAGTCTCTCCCACTACCTAACCTTCCCCAGGAAAGGGTGGGGTATCTAGGATTTCTAAGCCTGTTTGTATCATGATGCTCAGCAAGTCAGAGTCTTGCTTTCTAAACAAAGGTGCCAACCTTGAGACTCCACGAAAGCCAACACAAGCCAGACGTTGTACACAAGTGAAAAAGAATATAATTAGCAAAGTTATAGTCACATTTAGGAAAGACCTCCTTGGACAAGTTTCCACTCAACTGTGAACAGTACTCAAATTACCATTGTGCTTAATGAGGCCCCTGTCTCTTGGCCAGTGTAGATCTTTGTGACAGATCTAAGAATGCCAGCACCATCCACAAAACACAGACATACAAAATCTAATGCTCTAATCTATTTTTTGAATAATGGATGTGAAAAATGTGCAAATTGGGCAATGGAAGCTATAATTTAAAAATGGTAACATGTGTAGTCCCAGAAATGACTAGTCAAGTGTTAGCTAAATTATTCTTCCTCTAAGTTCTTTCTTCACTTTCTCTAGCCTTTGCTACCCCATCCCCAAAAAGAGATTAGAAAAGAGAAACTCAGAAACAAAAATGGGTACTCACTTCATCTCCAGGATCTCCTCTAGCTGTTTTCTCCTTTCTATTCGGAGGTTGGCCAAATGAGCTTCCTTTTCAGCCAGGGATTGCTGCGTGGAGGCGAGACGTGCCTTGGTGGCATCCAATTCCTGCCTGGTCTTGTCCAATGCGTTCATCAGTTCCTCTATCTGAAAGACACATGGAACATGCTACGTTATTTCTCCTCTGTTCAAGTGCAAGGCATTGCTTGTTAGTCTGTGTTCTGAATTACAAAGAAATCAGAGCCATCCTTGAACTGGGTATCGTGAAGTCTATTTTTTTCTTTGTCCCTGGTTAAAAAAATAAATGTCTCAAATACAAGAAATGTATAAACTTCTCCAAGATCCTTATTCCATTGGATTATCAAATAACCGTCAGAGAAACTATTTGATATATTTATTAGAAGTGGAGGGTGAGTGACTTGACCCAGTTTCAATTGTGGCAAAAATCTAAGACATTGCCTCACAGTTAGTGGAAGGCAACATTCAAAATGTACTTGGTCCAGGACAATGTGCATTTGTGTGTAGGCCCCAGAGTATACTGACAGGAAGTTAATCTATGTGTTTCAGATTTATTCATGTTTTAACCTATCAAAACCTTGTTTGGCAAAAGTGATTTGATGTCCAAGGGGCCTCAGAAGCCCCCATTCACCTCACCTCCCAGCCTCACAATCCGGAAGCAGGATTTGGCCAAAGGTAAACAAAATTCCAGCCACAAAAGGTTCAAGTTTGGTTTGCCCCTGAAGTTTGAGAGGGTTCTAAACTTGAAATAAATGACATGTAACTTTTATAGGGTGCTAATACACCATAGAAATAAGCCAGACTATCAAATATCCAGAGTTTTCAGCCAGGTCCCCAAAAATTGAACCAAGAAGCCCCAAGGCAAGGCCTTATCCTCCCCAAACCACCAGGGGCTTTTAAAAACCAATGTGCAACAAAGAGGGCTGGTGTTTACAGTCCTGTTCCAGAGACTTCTGTGGAGCAAGCTGGTGGCATACTGCTCCCTGCACAGACGCAGCTGCATCCACCCTGCTGATTTAAACTAGGGAAGTTCCAGGAAGTTTCTAGATTCCAGAGTTGATGTTTGGGTTTCTGAGCTACCCTTTTCAGCTAAACTTGGCAGAATGGGATCATCCATCACTAAAGGCAAAGTAACACACTTCAGAATGTGTCAGTGACATGTTAAGTTCCAATTCATAAAGACTCTCTACACCATTTCTGTAGCTTTTCATGGGATTTATTCAGGATAAGCCTCATAGTTCACATCCAAGGTAAATTACAGGCTTTTAAGATTCATAAAACCTTCCCTTTTGCCCTGATAAAAAAAGGAAATCTGACAACCCATGTAGTGTAACTCCAAGCCAAAACCAAAAACAATTTAAAAAGTAAGGAATATAAAGACCAATCTATTAAAGGCACAGAACCACACCTGTTTAATTGAAGAACAAATAGCATTGTTCTTTAACTTTAAAAATATACAGAATGTCTTTTGACCACTTTTTATTTGGGTTTTTTGTCATGTAAGTTCTTGGAGTCATGTAAGTTCTTTATATATTTTGGAGATCAAACCCTTGTCTGAAGTATCATTGGCAAATATGTTGTCCCATATAGTTGGTTCTTTTTTCATTTTAATGCTGTTTTCCTTAGCCATGCCAAAACTTTTTAATTTGATGAGGTCCCATTTGTTTATTCTTTCCTTTATGTCCCTTGCTTTAGGGGACATATTCATGAAGATGTTGCTGAGTGGAAAGTCTGAGATTTTCCTGCCAATGTTTTCTTCCAGGACTCTTATGGTGCTATGACTTATATTTAAGTCTTTTATCCACTTTGAATTTACTTAAACAGACACTTCTCCAAAAAGGACGTACAGTGGGCCCAGAGACACAGGAAAAGATGCTCAGCATACTAGCCATCAAAGAGATACAAATTAAAACCACAATGAGATAACACCACACCTCACACTGGTCAGAATGGCCATCATAAACAAATCAAGAAACAAGTGTTGGACAGGATTCAGAGAAAAGGGAACCCTAGTGCACTGCTGGTGGGAATGCAGACTTGTGCAGCCACTGTGAAAAACAGTATGGAATTTCCTCAGAAAACTAAAAATGAAATTGCCTTTTGACCCAGCAATTCCACTGCTGGGATTATATCCTAACTACCCTGAAACACCAATCCAAAAGAACCTATGCACCCCAATGTTCATAGGAGCACAATTTACAATAGCCAAGTGCTAGAAGCAACCTAAGTGACCATCAGCAAATGAATGGATCAAAAAACTATGGTACATTTACACAATAGAATTCTATACAGCAGAGAGAAGGAAGGAGCTTATACCCTTTGCAACAGCATGGATGGAACTGAAGAGCATTATGCTAACTGAAATAAGCCAGGAGGTAAGGGACAAATACCATATGATCTCACTTTTAATTGGAACATAATCAACAATAGAAAAAAGCAAACAAAATATAACTAGAGTCATTGAAATTAGGAACAATCTAACAATAGCCAGAGGGGAGTGGGTAGGGGACAGTGGGGAAAAGGGTTTTAAGGAACTGCTATAAATGACAAAACCAAGGGGGAGGGTGGAAGCAATGGAGGGAAGTATATTTGACTGGGGTCAGGGGGAGGGGTGAGGAGAAAATGCAGACAACTGTAATTGAACAACAATAATTAAAAATAAAATAAAAATATATAGAATGTAAGATATAATCACAAACTTGTTAGTTTGATATAGATTCATAGAATATCATGAACATCATGAATATGACTAGAAACCCTTATTTTTCTTCCCTTTTTCCTATTTTTGATTCATTCAAATAGCAGTGTAAAAAGAGATCAGGAGGGTTCCAAATAGTAGCATAGGAAGACTCTAAACTCACCTTCTCTTGCAAATACATTGAATCTACACCTACAAACAGAGAAATTCCACCTGAAGAACTGATGGCTGGCTGAACAGCTTCTGCACAAGAACTGACAGAGAAACCATAAAACCAGTAGGAGAGATAGAGACATGGCATTTTTATGGTATTGTAGGAATCCCACACCCAACAAATCAATTTGAGTTGGGGTGGAACACTGAGGAACATTGTGTAGACACACCAACCCTGCGGTACAACACAAAAGCAGTCACTTAAAAGGTACCTAGTCTAAATGGGAAGTCAATTGTCTAACACTAGAGCATCTCCCAGTTTGAATGAGGGGGACTCCAACTCTCTCTAGGGTTGAAGTCTCTAGTGAGCAGCATTTGCTGTGTTCCCCACCATCCTGAGGGCACAGGCAGGAGGTCAATCAAGGAGCTCTAGCCAGCTGGCCAAGGCCATCCTAGAGCACCCTGGACTCTAGGCCCCAGGTCTAAGGCCCACACCAGCTCTATCACTTGCCCTGGGACCCATGTGGCTTACACCTGCTCCAGCAATCACTCCTGGCCCCATCAGCAGCCCATGCCAGCTTCATCTATATTTCCTGGCCCATGCCACTTACCCTTAGGACTCTCCATAGCCTGCTTCAACTACACTTTCGCCTCACCTGCCAAAGCAGCCTAAGGTGAGGCTTATCCCTGGGACACCTTGTGGCTCACAGATGTTCCAGCTATAGTTTCAGGATTTGGTGCAGCTTTCCCTGGGACTTCACATGGCCCATATCCATACCACCTATACATCAGCCAGCCTGCCAAAGACAACTGGCACACTCATTCTATAAAGGGGAAGCTCCTGCACAAATCCACTCCTTCAAGACCAAGAGAGATAAATAAAAACACATAGAAAAAAAATGAGGAGATACAGAAATATGTTCCTAATGAAAAAACAGTACAAAAATCCCAGAAAAAGAACTAAATTAAACAGAGACAAACAATCTACCAGATAATGAAAACATTGTTATAAAGATGCTCAACTAACTCAAAAGAAGAGTAGATGAACATAGTGAGAATGTAAAAAAAGAGTCGGAAAACATAAAAAAGAACCAATCAGAGCTGCAGAATACAACAACTAAAATGAAAAATATAATAGAGGGAGTTAACAGAAGATGACATGATACAAGAAGGCCAAATCTGAAAGAGTGAAAACCACGTAATGAGAATAACAAAAAGAAAAAGAAACGAGGATACTTTGAGGAAACTCCGAGACAACATCAAGCACACCAACAGTTGCATAACAATGGTCCCAGACAGGGAAGAGAGAAAAGGACAGAGAACTTATTTAAAGAAATAGTGTTTGAAAACTTTCCTGACCTGATGAAAGAAAATGAACATCCAAGTCCAGGAAGCACAGAGAGTCCCATAGATGATGAACCCAAAGAGATCCACATCAAGATGCAGCATAATGAAAATACCAAAAGTTAAAGATAGACAGAGAAGTTTAAAAGCAGCAAAGGAAAACCCATAAGACCCTCAGCTAATTTTTCAGCAAAAACTTTTCAGAACAAAAGGGATGGCATAATTTATTTAAATATTGAATAATGAAAGGAAAAAAAAAACCAAAATATTCTTCTCAGAAAGTCTGCCTTTCAGAATTGAAAAAAAAAAAATAGTTTACCAGACAAGTAAAAGCTAAAGGGTAAAAAAGACTTCTTTAAGTGGAAAAGAAAAGGCTGAAACTAAAAATGAAAAAAATTTAAAAATCTCACTGATAAAGGCAAACATTTAGTAAAAAGCAGTAGATGGACCAATTATAAAGCTACTATTAGTGTTAAAAGACAAAAGTAGTAAGATTATATGGAACTACAATAATAAATTAAAGGATACACATGCAAGTACATAGTGTAAAATATAATTCCAAAAAATGTAAACGTGGCAGGGGGTGAGTAAAAGATGTAGTACGTTTAGAGTGCGTTTGATCCTAAGTAACCATCGACTTAAAATAGACTGCCATAAACATAGCTTGTTATATAGGAATCTCATGGTAACCACAAACCAAAAACCTATAATAGATACACAGAAAATAAAAGGAAAGGAACCCAAATTATTAAAGAAAGTCATCAATGTACAAAAGAAGAGAGCAAGAGAAAAAGAAAGGAACAGAAAAGAACTACAAAACAATGAATAAAATTGCAATAACTACTTACCTACCAACAAACATTTTAAATGTAAATAGATCAAATGCCCCAATCAATAGGCACACAGTGGCTGAATAGATTTAAAAACAAAAAAC